TGCCCCCAGACGCGAGAAATTTGAAAAAGCGTGTTCTAAACTACGCAAATTGGGAACGAAAGAGTGGATTTCAGACTTTTTTTGTGACCGTCGTGATTTTCGTGCCAGCTTACTCTCAGTTATTTCACGCGGCTACATCTCTTGCTTGCAACTGACCCACCTGTATTTGATTTTTGCTCCACACGTTGCTCATCAACTATGATCAGGGGAAAGTAGAGTTGATCCCAGAACTAAACTTATGCCTCAACCGACCTATTGCTTAGAATGATAGTGCAGGGTATCTAACATATCCATGGCGAATCTTCCGAACCACGTATCTTGGTTTGCGACCTTGCAGACTTCCTGTCATATCTTAAAATGGAGAACTATACTCAATGTCAATTCTGAAAAACTTCCATTGTTTGTTTTCTCCGTGCGAGGCAAAGCCTCACTCAGAATATTTCGCGGAATGATGTTGATTCATTATCCTTAAAAGGAATATAAGAGGAGTGGAGATTTTTAAACACCGCAAACTAAATACGTGGTTTGGGAGTTTCACTGTGAATAAAGTGGACGTATTTTTGCTAAAAGGAACTATTTAGAAGTGGATACATGAGGTGTACTCGTGGAAGCTGCATAAGAAACAATGTGGAAGTGGGTATAGTTCCTTTCGAGAAAACGGAAAAGCGGGATTTTCAATTAAATCAAAATGAACCGAGCGCTAACTCATGAGCCGTGGACGTATGACAAGAGCCTTGTGGACAGGACTCATGCCCCGTCGTGCCCCGGCCCCGATCGTTGCCGCCGACGTCACTGGCGCTTTAAAATCCCCATTCATTCTTATGGCCCTCAACTGACGAACTCACCCCATCTGTCCACTTGCGTAGTTCCATTTCGCATAAATACATATACGTCCAAGTATCTCTGGGTGACTAACAAAGTGCGGGAAAATATTTGATTGCAGGTGGTCGTTGGGCGTTCCGAGAGCGTGATGAGGATAAATATTCATGCTTTGAGGATCCGTGGAACAAACGGGGGCGAGTGACGAGAAGAGAGAGGGTGCCAATATCTGTGAGGATGAGAGGTTTCTGCCATGAGGGGCAGGAGCGAGGGCGTCTAGTTGAGCACCAACTCGAGGCCCGCCTCTGTGAGGCCCCGCTACCACGGGGGCGCCTCCCTGAGTCGAGCCACCTGAGCCGCTGGAGGCGCCGCCGGAGGGCGCCCCTAGCCCCCGACCGGAGGGCGCCCCTCGCCCCCAACCGGAACCCAACCACCGTCCGCGGGCAAGACGAGGCCTCCCGCGACCGGATCTTCAGTGGCATGAACCAACTTCAGGCCAAACTCGTCAACATGTCGGCCAGAAACGGCAGCTTGATTCTCCTCGCCTGGAACCTCAACGAAGAATTTCAGGTGAGCGGAATTCGTTGCGAAAAAAATGTACAATTCCACGATAACCTGTACAGAAAGTTGATCATTGAAATGCTCAGACAAAGCCACACACGAAAAAGGCAAAGAGGAAATATAATGTATATGGGGGCTAGGCCCTAGGCCGCTACGCGGCCCAACCCCCTGAAGGCGCTCCGCGCCATCAATATATTTTTACCCTCCGATCAATGTTGGTTTTATTTTTCCCCTAAAAAATTACGATATGAGGTATACTTTACTTTTAGAATGAAATAAGTTTTGTTTTTTAAGAATAAAGAAGAAGAAAAAATTTTGAAGTCAAAAGGACGCGTTTTGCAACGACTGATTAATGAAACATTGCAATAAAACAACGAATAATGATAATCAGGGCATAACCGAATAGAAGAAAAGTCGGGAATCGAACCCACGTCTTGAAACATGAGGCTCCTCCGACGTCTTAGATGACTCGGCCACCGCTCATCTTAACGCATAGCGTTATCTTCCTGCGCATAGCGGCAGCAGGTTGCGAAGCATTCTGTAAATTCGCTCACTTTTATAAATTGATTGTAAAAACCTGGGACCTATTTCCAAAAGCTGATTAGAGCGGGCTCATCTAGGGGCTATCACGAGTAGATTTACGCAAAAATCATGGAAATCGGCCCGGTAGAACGCTCAAACGAACTATGACAAAACATATAAATTTACATTGTTTAAATGGGAGAATTCGCAAATTTACCACGTAATATAAAAAACCGGGGTTATATTTCGAAAAACTGAATAGAGCGGGCTAATCTGCAGATACACTGAAAAAAAAGGATTTCTAATTCACCGATTTAGGGTGGAGCAAAATTTGCTTCACTTCGTAAAGCTTTCTTATCCGTGCACGGTGTTGAATCAAGTGAACGACTAGCACAAATTGCTACACCGATTTGCTACATCTGCGCGCCTTCATGCAGTTAATCTTGCATCGAGTGGCTTGGAAGTGTAACTGCATTTTTTGGTATTGGTACTTTGCGAACAGTAAAAAAAGCTCAATAGTTAGGCTGAAATAGGGGAATTTACGGAAAAATAGCGAAATTTACGGAAGAATGACTAAAAAGGTAACAAACGTAGCTTTTCAGAGAGCAAAATCACCTACACGCGTGTGTGTAAGTTAGCTGAAATTTGTGTAGCGATTTTACCTGCATGGTTTGCACGTTCGTTTTTTAGCTACATACCATGCCATGAAATACCCGCGCGCACGGCAATTTCAGCAATATTTTTTTCAGTGTAATTGCCCGTGGATAGCCGCAAAAATCATGAAAATCGGCCCGGTAGAACGCTGGAACTAAGCGTTACCAGTTAGGTACGCAAAATTAGGAGGTATCGGAGCTTATAGTATAGATATGGGGAAAATGGCCGTAGGGTCCAACCATTGAAACTAACCCTTGGTTCTCATGCGAGTTGCCGTATACCTCATTCGTTTCAACCAGCTGCTTCCACCAATGCTGCCGTCCTAAGAAAGAACGACGTAAGAACATTCGAGCGTTGCCAAATTGCCCCTGATAAACCACACTGTTAAAAAAAACGGAGTGAGACTCAGCACAAGCGCGAGTAAGAACGGGCCCTCACTTCGCCGGACCGAGGAGTCACTCCAACGGAGAATCGGCTGGACGGATTTTGGGTGCCGTACGCATAGAAATCACTCCGACGCCGGACGGATTCGCGGGAGCCGCAAATTCAGGGGTTCGCAGCTAGGGGATGGTGGAAAGGGGTTAATTGTGGAAATAATTTTTGAAACCATGAAAAATAAAAACAAGTTGGTTTTTGCAATTGCTAGCGATAGCAATATTCGTCATGGGAACTTTTGCTTCTGGGATATGAAAATTTTAAGGTACAGTTCGTTTGTAGTATCTTCAGAATTGAAGGGGCTATGTAATTTTGTGTCGGCATCTCTTTTTTAACATTTTTAATTTTTTTTCTTTGCATACAAGAAAGCTGTTATTTACCAATTATTTATTTTCGTTGGATTATGTATGGTTTTTGGAAGTTAACGCATTTAACTTTCAGTTTCGTTTTTTCGGCGTAAAGTATGATATTTTTACTCTACGCATATGCCCGAATACGCATCATAACGACGGTGAAACTACCAAACCACGTATCTCGTTTGCGGTGTTTAAAAATCTCCGCTCACATTTTATTTTTTTGAAGTACACCAAATCAATATCATTCCTTGAAATTTTCACAGAATTTTCTCCGCACGAAGAGGAAAAATCACGGAAATTTTCAAGACTGGACGTTAAGTAGCTTTTCATTTAAAAAATAAAGTATGACAG